TTAATTGACAATACGTCGTCGATATATCTAAACGTCGAGTTGAAGGCCACAGCAAGTGTTTTCTTCTTATCACGTAAAAGATTTTGCATAAATTCTGCTTCATATGAATATAAAAATAAGTCTGCTAATAATGGAGCGCAATTTGTACCCATGGGAATTCCAATAGATTGTTGGAATACTAGTACCTGGTCTCAAAAAACCACATAGATATTGTCAATCAGAAACTCAAGCATCTTCTTGATGTCAACTTCAGAGTACTTATGTGTACAGTCAGAATCTGTTTTAACAAAATAATTTTTCAAATGACCAATGACGAGGTAAGTAAACTTACGAGTTCCATTTTTGTTGAAGAAGCAGCTGTCAATGATATCAAAAAGCCTGGATTTTAATTTGTCGTGGGGAATTGTTGTGTATAAAGTTGAAAAGTCGTAAGTTTTTATGCTGTCGATTTTTGTAAAGTCTTGTGATTTCAAATTGTCCAAAAGTTCTTTAGAATTTTTAAGTATCCACATCTGATTTACACCACTTCTTGAATATATAGTTGTACAGTACTCTTGAAGTTTTTCCTTCATTACTGTCAATATTTTACTGAGAAGTAACGAAAGAGGCTTGGTTGAACATTTAATGGAACCTGCAATGTATCTTTGTTTGTAAGGATTCTTATGAAGTTTCGGTATCCAATATATATAAGGTAGTTCAAATTCATTTTGGCTCTGTGGAATATTAAAAGTATTCAAAACTGACAGGTGATTTTGAAGAATTTCTTCCTTAGAAAGAGAAGTATATGTATGAGTAGGATTACCACTTGTAGAATTAAATGTAAGTTCTTCTAGAATGCAATTTATATAATGAGCCTTACAAACGAAGACAATGTTGTTACCTGCTTTGTCGGCAGGAACCAGTACGTACTGATCGTGTAATCTATCTAATTCTTTTTTCATTTCTGGTTTATTGAACACAGAAGGATAGATGGTTTTCATTTTGCCCCTCAATCTTTTAATACGTGACTTTAACATGGATCTGATACATTTAATCCATTCTGACAAGGTGTCAATGTCTTCTTTTTCATATCTAGCCCATCGTCTGGCGTAATTTTCAACAGAATCCATAATATTTATGAAATTCCGACTCCAGTTGAAGGATCGGGGTTCCCTATATTTAGGATCTTTTAGAATAAGTGATCTAAGGTCCTCATTATTAATTATATTTACGTCACCTGTAATAACGTGTCCAGCAGGACTATAGATATAGGGCGAAGAAGAACATGAACACGAAAGGGGATTATTTTTTAGATAGTCGATATCCAGGCCATGTAAAGTGTTTTTGTAATTGAAAAGTTTGGAAGCAATGGTCGATGTATATTTGTAGGAAATACAAGGCGTAGTCTTTAACTTGAAATATGGTGGAATACAATACTGGACCCTTTTGTGATTAAGAATATTTCTTACATTAACCGTGTCAATTCCTTTATTGTCATATTAAAGTTAAATGAAAAGACGGATTGTTTTAGCAGCATTTTCTTCCGTGAAACGTGCGGGTTTAAAAAGCCTATGATGTGCAATATCCATAATCACAGAACCGAGCCTATTCTCTGTGTTTCACTTGTGGTACTTATATAAGGTGTACTTCCGGTTTTATAAGTACCTTAAATTTTCCTACGGAGATTTCTATGTTAAATTTAATATCATGATTGTTCCATTATCTCAGAAGGTAGGCAAGCAAGTATCATAAAATTTCATATGAATATTGACTCTAGCATTGTCTCCAGATGCTAAGGTCATGAAAATAAAAATCCCTAAAAAAGAAAGGATTTTAGGGGTCAGTACAGAAAACGGCTTTTTCTCTGTAACATTTTTGATTTTCAACCAATCTTTAAACTGATTTTGACATTACATGAGCTATAAAGAGTACAGTTTAAAAATATTGGCCGTGGGGTCACTTTTTGACCCCTTGTAGGAGTTTTAGTGAATTGAAAAACAGTACATTTTCGTATTTGTTAAAATACCCACGAAAGAGTTATGCCTCTTTGACTAGACACTGATGTACAAAGAGAAATAAATTAAAAATCTTAATTCAGCTAAAAGTTATTAAAAACTTAAAAATTTTTGGTGGGTTTGATGGACACATCCTTGCACTTTCACAAATATTAACTATGAATTGACACGGCGTCACTTTTTAATCACTAATTAAACTGAAATTGATACTTATTTTCAGTAGTTTCAAATACATAACCAGGTAAGAGTTATCTCTCTTTTCACAGCTATTTAGGACAATGTCTGAGTTTGGTAATGCATCTTATTAGTACTTCTACTGTATTAATTTCTTAAAATTGTACAAGATCGAAATTTCTTTATAAAATTTGAAATCAGGCATGTTGGAATAAAGTTTATGAAGTTTATTGTACAAGCGCAATCATGAAAGTGATGCGCGTCGCCCAACTCTTGCCCGTCGACAAAATCTAGTTCATAAAAAGTTGACCAATGAAAATTTGTAAAATTGCGGAATATTGAGAAAAATGAATAAAAGGCATTAACGCGTAATAATAAAACAAATTATAAGTGTGAAACTACTTTTTCCTAAAAGGGCCTCAACTTGAGTAAATAAGACACTGATATGACACTTGTGTTTTTATAACTAAGTAGTCGGCAAATTCTTGACCACAAAGAAAAATGGTCACATCAAAGAAAATCAATGAATAGATTATCCATCTGTTGACATTGAGTTCATACTATTAAATTCCACAGATGTTGTAAAATATTTTAAATAAAACAAGAGATATATAACTTTATAATTTGAATTTTAAATGCAATTTGTTGACTTTGAATAATAAAATAACAATTTAATTTATCAATTATTTTGCATTTTCATTAAACACAAAGCTTTATATGCGACTGAATAAAAATATTTCACAAATCAAAAACACCGAAAAGTTTAGTGTTACACATGTACCAGGCCTGTAAACATGATGTAAGACCAATCTAAAGTAGTTGGAAAGATTATGTGTAATACTATGTATTTTCCCCATTTGAGCAAGTAAAAACAATTTCTCTTTATTGGCATTATTTCACTCTCTTTTATTTCCTGGATTAAAACAAAAAAGCACAATCCCTTTATTAAAAATGAATTAATAATTTACAAAATAGTCTCTTTTAAGCTAATAGAATTTTTTCATCTTTTCTTTAGTCACGTGTGTCCTACTGATTTTCTCATAATAAATTACATGAATAAATAAAATTAGAATTTAAGAAAAAGTATTTTTAGATATTTAATTTGCAAAATCACCATCATTTTCTTATACGGCCATTTAAAAGAAAACTAATTTTGGTCGGGCAATATTTTATGGATTTTTATTGACTACCATATCATATCATTTCTCAACAAGCAATATTACAGATGAAATGAATTAAATGAATTAAATGAATTAAACATGAAGAGAAGTTAAAAATCATGGTCGAGGGGGGGGGGGGGTACTTTTATTTCCCTTAATCATGTTATTTATGGGTTTTAAGAGGAACATGAGGAATGTTTCACTCTGTTCAACACAATCAAGTTGTGAAGGGATTTCACAAATCTTACTCCTTAAGAAAAGTGGCAATATTGCTGATTATTAATTATCTTTGTTATAACCCATTTTTACTGTACATATAGGAACTACATGTATGTCCCAGTGACCTAGTTATAACCAAGTTTACTGTACATATAGGATCTAGGTCCCAGTGACTTTGTTATAATTTTTCCCCACACATTACCTTTACTATAGAAAATGTATACTGAAAGGAAGATTGCCCCCCCCCCCCCCCCCCCCCCCCCCCACACACACACATTTCAGTACAAGCCAAGGTAGTGTTATAAAGAAAATAAACCCCCAAAATTTGAATTGAAAGACAGTTGGTCTTGAAAAACGTTAGCCACTACCCCCCATCCCCACCCCGGAATAGGATTTTCGACTTTGGACAAGTTTAAAATTTTCTGTTTTTTTTTTTTCCTTTTCAGCTTTTCATGTAAATAAAAAAATTCTCACGTCCCCCCCCCCCCCCTTCAAAAAGAATTGTACGTGCCTGATAACTAATATCTTAAATTATTTATTATTTATATTATTTATTCAATTTGACAAAAACCACATGTGGCGCAAGTCATACTGTATACAGTAAACAAATATAAAACATATTATAGTTACATAAATTTTCTTATATTACATGCATCACGTAAGAAGTTACAAATATTTCTTGTAGAATTAACATCTGCTGGATTAACCCCCTTCCCCCGCAGTGACGCATTTTAACGCATACACCATTTCCTATTTCTAACGCAAAATCACGCATTTACCGTTTCCCCGCAATCACGCACTTTCACGCACTTTAAAAAATTCATTTAATCTTCAATTTATTGCCATATTCCAACTATTTTATACTTGCTTGAATCTCATAAAATAAGAAAGGTTATTTTCTAATTAAAATATTACGTATTTCAGAATATTATTCACGCTTAGCTTTAGAGAAATTTTTACCCATCTATAAAGTGCTTGCGGGGAAATGGTAAAGTAATATTTCCGTATGACGCGAGGATTCAATGTATGTTGCATAGCAATTCAGTAAGTTGTAAAGAGTTAAGAATTTCATAAGATATACATGTAAAAAAAAGTGTACAAAATTCACTTCATGATGTTCATCTTCAACGACATTTTTACAATTAATACAAAATCTTTCATCAGCTCTTGGTATAATTGGTTACAATATCTGCCAACCTCCATCTGTAATTTGTGGGCACTTTTTCTTAATCGAGTCAAAAAAGAACGAAGATTCTTGGAAATAGAAAAATGTAAGTATGGTTGAATTTCAAGTTTGTTTAGATTCCCTAGATTTGGCTAGAATGATAATTTGCCATTACCTTTTTTCTCTGATATTTATTTTATCCTTAATATGGTGATATACCTTTAATAAACTTAAAATTAATTAAACTACTTGTGGGTAATAATGGAATAAAAAAAATAATATGTGATAGATTACGATCAATATAGTATATTATACAATTTTCTCTAATAATTATGCATAACGTGGTTCACAAATTGATATCGGGATCAATGTTACAAATATGCAAAACATTTCTCGTGCGGACATTGCGAAACGTGGTTGTTACCGTTATCGACAAAGTTAGAGATATTATCTCCGTATTCCGATATTTGTGAATAGCCAGAGCATTTAAAGTGTTATTTGCTGTGCCCAGTACTGTTGTAAGTATAAGTATGCCTGAATTAAAAATTTTCTAGGAGGTATATATTGGAAAACATTTTACCTTGTGTGTATACGTAGAGTGTATCATGAGTGTGAGTATGTATAGTCAGGTAAAGTTAGATTAATCTAACTGTGTCTCGGCACAAGCGCTCACCACAGTTAGAATATGTCCCATATACTTGCAATGTAGCAAATTGGAGCGCATCCGCTCCGAAACGATTTTGAAGAATATAAATTGATTTGCACTGGGAATAACTACCAATATAATCAAAACAAACCTTTTTCAGATTGCCTATACCTTTTATCTCAATTAATAATCGATATAAATATGAAAATCCAATTTATTTTCTCAACATTTTTCTCTTGATTTAAATTACGCGCCATGTTTACATTCGGAACCCTCTCGATTGTACCTGGTATATGCACTAAGCGAGTTATCTCCTGTGTTTCTTTTGCTACATTACAAATACACGGAACGAATTCTATTATTAAACCGGGTCTGTAGGACAATATCATTTTAATGATAGAACATTCTGTCTAGCGTGTGTATTTCAGGAAACCTTGGGTCTACCTGTTTGTACTCGTGGTTGCAGCTTCCTTACTTGGATTTGGTGAAAAGTATTTGGAAAGTTATTTGCTGTGCTAGAATATTTGTAAGTAGAATAATTGTGTGAGTTAAGTAATGTATGATTCAGGACATTCTCAATCTGTTATCAAAGTGGTTTCTAGTCCTCTCATAACCAGAGGCCAGTTCAGCAAAGCGAACATTTGCGAGCGCTCGCCAAATTTTCTTATACCTCCAATAGTATTTTTCACAATTGCCAAGCGCTCGTGAACGCTCACTCTGCTGAACAGGCCTCAGGTCAGGTGTAGCACAGTCACAGGGATTTATCAAGGCTGTTTTTACTCCCGGTAAACGGTACCTTTCCCCTCTTGAAAAAGGTCAAAAATTCCCCTTTTTCAGATAAAAAATTCTCTGATTAAACTGAGATTATTAAAAAACATTGTACTGAAATTTTCCGATTTGTCTGATTGAAGTTTAACAGCATATCCTAATTCACCATCCTAGTCATTCAAACGCTTATAAATGAGAGAGTAGATCATTCAAGCTTCTATTCGATATTGATTGGTAAACATGTGCCATGTCCATGATGTCAAGATATACAGATGCGATTTCAGGGTTAAAATAAGTGTAGATGATTAAGATGGAGCTTATTTCACTATGAATAGGATGAATGGAGTGACAACAAAAACAATGTTAGTAGTGAAACATGAAAAACAGAATTGATTTGTGATAGATATTGAGAGAAAAATTAAATAAAGTACTGACCTGGTTTAATTTTTTTTTTTTTGTTATTTAATATTTTGTCTCAAAAGTGAAGTTTTTGTGGCCTTTGTAAAGGTCTGCAAATGACCCTCAGAAGCTGTAAGAATGCAGGATTTTGCTCCAGTAATTTTAAAATTTTCCAGGGGGGCATGCCCCCGGAAACCCTCTAGAATACTTGCGCCTCCGGGGCTCAGATCGAGCCAGATTTTTCCATTTTCACAGATATTTAACTAGTCCTTAGGTTCTATCTAATGATTATCAAATAATTAAACGAAAGTTGTCCAGGTACAAGACATATTTAGAGCTCCAACTTTTGTTATGTAAACAAGGTTATTGTCATGTTTTAATTTGTTTACACGGGTTAATATACTAAATAAAGATATGTATGTTATTTCAAAGTAGGTAATTTTAAACAAAAGATAATTTTAAATACAATTCGATAGGGCTGTCATGGGTAGCCAAAATGACCCGGAACCGCGGAACAATTGCTTCGGGTCCTGTACGGTTCCTTTTTTCCGGAATCTGGTTCGGTTTCGATTTGTATTTATAATAGTAAGAGTAGTTTTACTATAAAAATGGCGTAAAAAACGAGAGACTTGTCAGTACATTCCATGGTAATTTAAATAATTGGGTAAAATTGTTTTCTAATCAGTTAACTACCTTAAACTACTTATAATTTCGCCAATACATTTAAGATTACATGAAAATATTTTATTTGTTGTTAAAAATAATACAAATCATGGGCTTGTATTCCATTACTACCAAAAAACCCAAAACCAAACCTTAAAAAATCAGAGCCAACCCGACCCGAAAAATTCTGGAACTGTGACAGCCTTACAATTCAACCGTTACCATTGATTTGCTGAATTTCATTTTATTATAAATATGATATTTTCTATATATTATACTTTCAGGTAAATTACTTAAATCTGATTCTTCAAGAAACATTTGATAAAAAACAATACTACCCGCTGAATAATGAAGCCACGCCCTCAAGCGTAGCAACAGTCAACATTGCTTGACGATGGGTAGTATTCCAAAAAAAATAGTGACTGCGCAGAATTTATGCACGAACGGTTCACTGTGATATGTATTTGTATAAAAGATTCAGTATAATATAATAAATATTGCGTGTAGTTAAGTGTAACATTGAAAATTTTCACCCCTCGAAAACCATTGTCAACCTCAGCTGCGCCTCAGTTGACAATGGTTTTCTTAAGGTGAAAATTTTCAATGTTACACTCAACTACATGCAATATTAAAATAATGTAAACAAAAACAAGGCACACGCCTAGTTTATATTATGACATGTATCAAACTTTGTTAGTTGATGTACCTGGTGATTTCAGAGAATGTCGACCAAACATTAGGTCACGGTGACCTACTTTTGACATATTATGGTTTTATAAGTATCTCTAGTATTTATTAGTGAAGAATCATAAAACTTTCTTAGTTGATGCATCTTGGGTTTTCAGAGAATGTTGACCAAAAAGTAGGTCACATTGACCTACTTTTGAATATCTCAGGTACTTATTGGCTTAGAATCATCAAACTTTGTCAGTTGATGTATCTTGGGTTTTTGAAAATCATCTTATAAAAATTAGGTCACAGTTACGTAATTTTGACATTTTATGGCTATTTCAAGTACTTATTGTGAATGTGACCTATTTATAGTTTTTTTTGTATAGCTTTATTAAATATCTTCAGTCTTAATTCGCTAAAAAATCATCAAACTTTGTCAATTGATGCAAGTTGGGTCTTACGATACTTAGGGTTAGAGGCTTCAAAGAGAAGTGATTGATTGTACAATTTATCAGAAGAGCGATTCAAGGCCTTTGGGCCTCATGTTTATTCAACAAATGATGTTCAATTTTTTCTAATCAACACTTGATCAATAGATGATGCCTTAAGTAGGAATTGTAAATATTAAAATTGCTTTAAAAAAATCAGTTGAAAGTGTGTTCAGGCCCTTCTAAGATAAACAGTAAAACTGTGAAAAAGTTGCTTTGAAATAGCTTAGTAAAGCTACCTGAGGTTGCTATATATTAAGCTACAGTAGTTAATGAAGTCCACTTGAATGGAGTTAGGTTACAAGTTTAAACAAAATTATAAAATATGTAGATTTTAAAAAAAATATACATATATTTTTCAGGAAACGTTGGGGGCTACCTGTTTGTCACCACAGATTCATTTCTTAGATTGGTACATTGTCTAGGCATTGGAGACTTATTTGCTGTGCCAAGAATAGTTGTAAGACTGTAAGTAGATTTCTATCTTGTGTGAATTAAATAAAGAATGAGTGCACTTAAGTACGTCATTTGGAACCTTTTCGGCTACCCATTCTAAGCTTAATATTACAATATATCGCAAAATTAATCTATGATTAATGTGCTAGCTTATGCTATTGATATTTATTTCTAGAAGTTTTTGTCATACATATTTCTATAATTACAGAAAATGTAATTGAAAAGAACATATAAAAGCCTTAAATTCCGGAAATTTGAACGGGACCACTTTCGAATCTAAGGTATCCGCAAATAGGCAGAGACATTTAAACCGAATGGTTGTGGAATGTAAACATTAGCACATATGATTTTTTGGCGTTGCAAATCGACATAGAAAAGAGAGAGAGAGATCGTGTTGTTTTCATGGTGCACAATTATTAAATGATTTTAATGTTAAGGGATTGGGTATATGTCTCGCTGTGCAGATCATAATACAGAGGCGACATAAGCCTATACATGGACTTACTTATGACACTCTCAATACCAGAATTCTTTCAAAACACCCCTAATGAAAAGCACAAAGATAAATGAGAGTCATATTATCTTCAAACCCTATTAAAATTTGCGCAAAAATCTCCCATAGTTTTAAGTTGGAAGTACGATAGATAATATCACAACAGAGACTTTTTCAATGAAAGCGTTAGCGTATCGAATAGCAGAAGGTCACGTGAGAAAGGTGATTATAATATCAATCGTTGTTGCTCAGTGACCGAATGATTTAGTAGCTATCTCGACCCTAGTTTGGGGACATTTTTTTGAAAATTAGATATGAGCCGCAACTTGGCCAACATTGTCCTTTGGATATGTATAAGTTTAAGTTTAAATACATATTCTGTGCAAATAAGAAAAATGGCCAAGTTGCGGCTCGATGTAAACAAAGTCGTTGAAAACTGGTATGCATATGAATAACAATAGAAATGAGACAAAACTGTTAGACCCCCGTCTCAAAAGCTAGTGTGGTTCAGCATTATTTAAGACTTTCATGTAATACAATATACCAAAACCTGCTCTAAAGACATTGTTTATTACCTATAAAACATAAATTTAATGAATTTTGGAATTTTATTTTGCGCAATACATCGGGATCCAACTCTCATAGCTTAAGTGCACTCATTCTTTTTAGAGGTACAGATTACTACATGATTAATCATGTAATAGAAGTTCATAATCTGAGTTGATATTCTACTTGGCTGGATATATGGACTTTTGTCATAATTCATCTCTGGAAATTTAAATTGATATACATCTAAGGGACATGGCAATTCTTTTAATACATTTCTGTTTAAGTTATGTTCTATCACTGCAAATTGGCAAAAGTTAAAACAAATTAAAACTTATTTTCTATTCAAATAATGGTTGCCATGACATTATGATTTTTGTATCTCCTAATTAAAGAGTTCCTTAGTTTTATTATATACCTAATGTGTATCACCCAATTTTACTGTTGAATTTTCGCTATCTCGTGACGTCATGATCCGATTTTCTGGATCACCAACATGTTGTTTTCTGAATCCATATCACCACTCCCTGAAACTGATGACTTAGTACGCAGAAATATGACGTTATATTTTTTGTGTGTTAAAAAGTCCCTTGTTATTATGCTTTGTTTAATGGAATAATATCATCTAATTTTGTCTCTAAAGGTTTATTTTAATATATTTAGCCAGTTATAAGGGGGTGTATACATGTAATAAATTTATCATTATAACAGTAACTTGATCCAAAGGGGCGTATCATGTCGAGTTGACAGGCGCGGATCATCAGATCAAACTCGAGGCTTCGCGTCTCGTTAGATCTGATTATTGATCCGCGCATGTCAATTGATGTGATACGACCCTTTGGATCAAGTTACTATAATAATAATATAATTATATATATGCCATAGGGGCTACTAAATATGTTATGGTATTAGAATCCTGCTCTTTTATTTTTCCTTGAGGACATCTTAAGATTGGATTAATGGATTTACTGCTGCACCTTACTTTTCTCATATTTTACAACTGTAGATGTTAATACAGTCAAATTTGGGTAAAACACAGGTAAAAAAGTAGTCTGAAATAAAATTTCAACTCCCTTAGCTTACATTTGCTATTACTGCATACATCGAAAAAAAGAGTCTTCAATATTTTTTTTGGAATGACCTTTCTCAATTTAATTTGTATGGTACATGTACAACCGTTCCCCTAGTTAACAATGTTTACTGACAACAGAGTCCATATTTGAATTGGTCTGTCATAATCTCAAGGAAATATTTTTCATTAACGCATGAAGTCTTTTAACACACTCTTTGTTGAGTCATGCAATATTATTACTAATGGGATTCATATTTTTCACGGATCTGAGGCCAATTACCTCCTGATAATCAGCTGTGTGTCTGTCCATACCAAACCAAACAACTCTTACATCCCTGTTCCGAAGGAGGGGGTGTGTCCATGTGTCTGTCTGTAACACATTTTCATGATACATGTATTTTTTGTTTGTCAGTTTGTCTGTCTGTCACAAAAACTCTAACCTTGGTCATATTTGTTAAATGAGAAGAAGGGCTAACATTTATTACATATGTTTATTACTAGTGCTGGATATCGCGATGGAAAAATAGTATCGCCATATATTGCAATATTATATTATATATATTGTATAGCAATATATCACAATATAAATATTTAATAATGTTTTGCTTTTCGTGAAGGTTAAATGAAAACACAAACTCAAATTACATGTATTCCATACATGTGATATGTACCGGCTGTACAGGAAATGTCCCGTATTCTCGACCCCCATCATGGTGTCCCGGCGGAACACCAAAATTCACGGGAAATAAAAATGTTTACCGTATTTTGAAATGTTTACCGGAAACCGCCATTTTTCTTTCATTCCTGATCTCGCAACACCGGAAATCTCGAAGTATGCGTGACTTACTGCCCTTGATTAGTGTAAACAAAACATCATGAACGAAGGTGTGAAATATTCCCGTGATAATTACATCGTAGTTAGGAGATATCAAAGCGTTTTGTGTGTTTGGCTGATTGCTTTTAAATAGGACAGGTTTATCAAGGATTCTTTTTATTAATAACTAATTTATTAAAACTAAAGACATTTCAAAGAGAAAACGCCATTCACAAGAAACGGAGACACTTTGTGACAGAAAAACGAAATTTCGCCCATTATTTGATCAGGCATACGTATTGTCCATTTAAATACAGATTAAGAGAAATGTTTTTTAGAACAATTTAAATATCGCAGCTGAATGAAAATGACCAGATTCACACAATAAACTGTTTTTAAACACTGTACTTTTTACTAAGTTCAGCACTTAGCATAGATTTATGCCGAAATTAAAAATTCTTCACGAGCTTCTCGAAATGAATCATAATACATGTTATGCAGTGGTGCACATAAACATTGATTTGAAATTTATTAGTAAAAAATAAACACCTTACATTGTTTTTTGGTTGATATTTTGTACCGTTTTTTGTACCGTTTTTTGATTAGCTATGTACAGTATTTTCACCCAAATTCCAGTATTTTGAAGGCTTCTGTACAGTATCTGGGTCTAGAAATTATCACATGTATGGTATTCTCGAGTTGATATTCCAATTGCCTGATGGCATTATATCGGCACAAGAGTGGCAAGATAAGTTTTTGGGTTGGCACAACTTGTTGAATTCAATTGATTGTAATACTCAGATTCAGTTTTAAATGAAAGGTTTTCATATAACAGTTGTCATCGTTTTATTTTTGAAAGAGACATTTCTCTGGTTCTGATCACACTTTACGTAGCTAGCCGCTATATTTTACCTTGAAAAGGGCAAATTACTCTTTTTGTAACAATTTATAGCATATCCAACTCAAACCGGTATTCACAAAAAAATACCGCGATAAGTATTGTGAAGAACAAACCGGTAATATGGCACAGCACTATTTATTACCTGTGACCTGAAGCAAGTCCTTTCTAAATATGTTATGATTTTTGACCCCATAACCTAAATGCAAATTCCAAATGTCGTTTTTTTTATTTCATAGAATGGTGTTGCCATTGTTTCTACACAAAGAAATTTTGTGAAATACTTTAAGAAGCTACTTTTCCTACAGTTTTAGTTTGATTTCAATATAAACTGGCACACAAAATGACTACACTAAGATGCATAATTCTGTAAATTAGTTTTTGATTTCAGTGAAAAATATTGTGGTGGTCACTAAATTTAATTTTTTTTTGTGAAATATTTTGAAAATGCTTCTCCTCCTGCATTTTTTGTCTGATTTCAATATACATTGACTACATTAAGATAAATAATTCAGTTTATTAATTTTTGGTGAATATTTTTGCTACAGCAATTTGAAAATAGAAAGAACTTTATTTGGTAATAACCAATATTTGCCCCCTAAATCAAATTTTGATGGAAATATATTTAATTAAGTTCCTATTATCCTAAACAGGGAAGTACTGTGAAATCACAAATTTTCGTGGGGGTTAAATTTTCGTTGTTTTCGAGGTATGACGAGACCCACGAATTTATGTCCACCTCGAAATGTGAAATGTATCATACATTATTACTCATTTATTCTTGATCCACAAATTCAAATCCCCACAAACCAAGAAATTTTCCTCAAACCACGAAAATTTGACCCCACGAAAATATTTGACTCTACAGTATATGCTGACTTCAAAGCACTGAATATTTCCTTATGTAATGAAGTCATATTTACGTAATGACATCCCAAACATGATGTAAATTTCATTTTTTTATGAATTCTACAGAAAAATCTACATATTATTTCATCAATATTTTGAGTAAAAGTTACCGGGCGCATGTGTGTTCAGGATCAATATTTTGATATAATGTAGGCCTTTCAACTAGTTTTCAAGTTGCACATATGGTAAAAAACATTGTATAGATAGATTTATAGGTACATAAAATTATCAAAAAAAGATAATAACTTGTGCATACTTTTAATTACCTCATCAAAAAGTT